TTCAGCAAGCGGTGCCTCTGCCCCTCTGCTCTCTCCTTTCAGGCTCTGCATATTCCCAGACACCCCTGTGACATCCACCACCCCACAAGGGTGACACTTGCACAGCTGCCTCACCATCTCAGAAGCTTTGATGCTCTCTTGTTGAATATTTTCTATAGGATAAACAAAATATCAGACCCCCTAAACAAGCTCCTCAACCAAATATGTGCTCAGATTGTTAGGAAACTTCAAACACCCCAGCTGCTGAGTGTTCAATATCAACCTTAACTCTTTTTTAAGAGTTCCTGTAAATTTTACAGTAAAATGTAGAGCCCTCCAAGCACATTCCATGACCTCCTAGAGCCCTCCAAGCACATCCCAAGACCTCCTTGCTGTACATATGAGCTCCAATATGTCCTCTTTACATGGCCCCCCTTCCTGCCCACACTTAATATAAAAGTTTTCTAATGATTCTCTTGTTACACTAGGTGGGAAAAAAAAGTGTTTTCTTAGCTGAAAATTACTAACTTTGGTTAAAATACAGTATATGTTGAGTTAGTAAATGGCAGTCCTTTCTGGAATTTCCATTGGGTCTGTCTGAAGCAGCAAACCTGAGCTGCATTGTCTTCATTGCTATTTTAACCTCTGCTAGCAAGCCTGGGCCAACCACCCACGTTTAGAGACAACCTTTATTTGCAATATAAACAATACCCATGTCATGATGGATAAAGGGCAGATCTGTGGGATTTCATATGGAAAAAGACAACTGCTTTTGCCAGCCTCTGATTCCTAATAAACACATGTCTTTTATTAGTGTCCTAAACGAGGAGCTGGGCTGTGTCTTGGGGGGTTTAATGACTGACCAGAGAAAAGGAGCTGGAGGGAAGGAGGATTCTGTATACCTGTGCTCTCAGCTCAGCAGGGAGTCCCCTGTGCACTAGAGAGAGAAGCTCCACTTTCATCTACATGAAGAGAAACCAGAAGTAAAGGTCCCTTTCAGGAGGGATAAGGGGTCTCCTAGAGAGCACTGAAGGAACAGACTGGGAGGGAGAGGACGTCAGATCACAGAGGGGGTTGGTGCGATGACTCGCTTCTCAAACACAGAGTGAACAATCTTCTGCTTAATCTAAATACAAGTGATGAGTTGTAGGAGTGGTGAAAATGGCAAATAAAATCTAGGAAATTGCATATAAAGAGGAATCGTTGTTATTAAATCATTTAGGATGGATGTGTTTCAAATCTAGCTCACAGCTGAAGCTGTTTTACAGCTCTAGCTGTGGAGTTTTAACAAAATTGCAGAATTGCAACGTGTCTGCCAGGGATTTATTTTAAGGATTGCAGGGTAGTTACATGAATGAACCTTAATAGACTCAACATGTTGTTGTGATCTGAACTCTTCAGTGATCTCCACTGCAGTTTATGTGCACAGGATCCAGCAGCACGAGTGCATTTGTGTGCACGTGTGCAAACACTCCAGATGGAAATGGGGCACACACACGTGCAGGGCTGTTCCCAGCTCCACACAGGCTCCCCACAGACTGCTCCTGCAGGACAATGACAGCATTTCTCAACCTCAGCATCACAGTGTTCCTTTTCTCTTATCCCCAGAGGTCTCTTGTTTCCTCTGATCTGCCTCCTGTCTGTATTAGAAAGGAAAGCCTACACTGCCCAGCACACTCCTGGTACTTGATCTCACTCCAAGCTTTGGGTGCTAATCTCACCACCCCTTGTCTCTCCTCCTGGTGCCTGTGGGTGTGGGGGTGTCTGTACAGACATGCACATCTCCTTCCACTGGCTGCCTTCCCTGACCTGCTCTGGACAAGAAGGGATCAGGATTCTGGCTCAAACTGGCTCCATAGCTCAGCTGCTAACACCAGCTCCCTCTCTTTTCTCCAGAAACTATATATTGCATTTCTACTTTAAGCACATCAGCTGTCAATCTAGCAGTCCAAAGACCCTCATTTCCAGGTGCTGCCATTCTCCTCACTGTGGGAGGGCATTCTCTACTGGAATTTGCCTGTTGAAGCACCAGGAAGAAATTATTTTTAAAAATCTGTCTTTTTTTTTTCTTTGCCTACTTCCAGCAGATAGATGGAACATTTCAAAAAATTCATCCTGAGCATAAATATTGAGCATTTTTGAAAACACTGGTTCCAAACTTGTGGAGATCAAACTTCGCTAACAGCCTCAATGGTTTTAGAAATGCTGTTAACTCCTCAGCTCTGGAGGAGCTGTAAGTGTGCTAACACTTACTTTTGGTGGTCTCAACAATTCTCCTTGACTGCAGGAATAAGTCACAGAGCAGAATGCTCTTGATGGTCCATGGGAAGGACAGCATGCCCTTATGAACACAAAAATCACAACCACTCTGGAAAGATCTCTAATTCATCAGTAATGCTTCAATGGAATAATGACCACGAACCCTAGCAGCAATTAGAGAAATATTATTTGTTTTGTTTATTTAATGCAAAGGCACAAGCTTTTTCATGAACAGAAAGTGATGATGTGCTGCCAGGACAAGGGGGGAAATGGAGGGAAGGATTTTGAGAGCTCTGAGCACTGCTCTCCTCTCTTCTGTTTCTCTGGAACATTTGCCCTTTCTGCCCGTGGTTCCACTGTGGGAGCCATATGGCTTCCAACACTGCTCTAAGTAGCCACTGAGAATTGTCTGCAGTGGAACCCTGCCAAAGCCCTTCCTGGTTTAATGACATGGGGAAGAGCACTGTGCAGTGCTCACCAGCACAGGGGCTCACACGTCCTTGATGCTGATCCTGGAGCCAGCAAGTGATGCTGGGAATTGAACCATCAGTGCCTCAAACACAGGAGTCGACATGTGCCAACCCCTGCTGCATTCAGCCTCTGTGCGTGGCATATTAATGAGACTTGAACTTGAGGTCCAACCTTCAAGCTTGCACAGAAGGAATTACCCAAAGACAAAAAAAAAGAGTCCTCTCTACAACCTGTTTCTCTCTAAGCTTGCACAGTGTAACCAGTTTCTTCACTCAGTTTGTCCAACCGTAAAGAAGTGACCTTTTTTTTTAGGCCACCACATCTTACCTCTGCAGACATAACCACAATTTCCCTTGATTTAAAAAATTAGTTTAAAAGGTACTCCAAAGAAACACATGAAGCCAAGAGGAGGGGACAGATGACTGAGTGCTAACCCTCACTCCCATACCCTATCCATAAATACCTGCTAAATTTCAGAATTGGGATATGGAGCTAGGAGAAGCTTTCTTCTGCCTGCAGGAATGTGTGGTACCAGTCTCAGACCAAATGGGAAGGAGTAGGGTGCTCATCCTGGAGGCTGCATTCCCACATTTCCATACCAGCACAAAGGGGCATTGCTGGGGATCCCTCAGTGCCTCAGGAGCCAAAAAGGAGCCCAATTCCTGTTCCATCACCACCCCTAGATACATAACTCAATTTGGAATTGCCCAGTATTATTTTACTTTAATTTCCTGATTTAAATAAAATCTACGGCCATCTAGCAGCCAGCTGGAATGCTGGGTTTAGGGAAGTTTTGCAGCAGTTCTTTTGGGCCTTGCAAATGCCTGGTGCATAGTGCAGGCTGGCTTCTTATTTTCTGATAAACTATTTTCCGATAAACTATTTTCCTCCAGAAGTACAGTTGGCAGCAGAGGCAGGATAGAGGTGAAAAAAAAAGCCCCTACAGAAGGATGCTCTCTTTCTTTGGAAAGGGTTGTGCCTCTGTAGTGAAACTTGACAAGCCATGAAAGCCGTGTCCTGCTGCAAGTCTGCCCAAATGTTAGGGAAAGGGACAGCTTGCAGAGGGTGAACAGAGCCAATGGTAAATGTAACTCCCCAGGACAGCATGTTTCTCTGGTGGGAAGAGGGAAGGACAACACATCAGTGACCCCAAAACCACAGCCTGCAGCCTTCCTAGGCAAAGATAAAAGACAGAACAAGCCTGTAAAAAAGTCACATACTGACTTTTATTTCTTTCAAGGAATTAAACAAATTAAGTTCCAGTGTTCAGGAAATCTCTTCACCTTTCAAACACTTTAGAAATGCAACTAATCAAAGCCTACAACAATCCCTGATGAAAGCCTGTGGACAGCTCAGGGAGATACAGAAGAAAGGTCACAAGTATTGCCCAGTCACAAAGGCTATACTGGATGTACATTAACTGAACAATTCATTTGTCTGTGTCTCAGGTCTGCAAATTCACATTTTCTTTTCCACAGGGAATGTTCTGACTCCCCAGCTCACAGCAGATAAAACATGTGGTGGCAGCTGGCCACAGTGACTCCAGATCTTCACTATTACTCAGAGCTCCTCTGGACACCAGCAGCACTTAAATCCCCCACCTCTTACTCCAGTATACCACAAAAGTCACTGCAAATTCTTGCAAGGTAGCAAAAACAGATCTGAGTGCAATCCCAGTGTTTTCCCAGTACAAGAAACCTATCTGAACAATGCTGTCCTTCCCCCAGCTTTTACTTGACAGAAATCAACAAAAAACCTCCCTAATTTTCATGGGAACAAACATCACTTCAGTACACAATGCTCTAATTAAATCAGCAATTCTGAAATAAAACACTATATAATCATTATTACCCTAAACCAATACATGATGAAGCAGCAATGGAGTCACATCCAATTAACTTGATTTTATCAATGATGAAGTTCTCAAAATTATGCTGGCAAAGTGCTACTGATATCAAAACCAAAAAACATCATTATTCTATGAAAACACTTCTCAGGTCCCAAAATGGTAACCAAAAAATATGTTCATTGTTACATATTTTAGAACATAGAGAAAGATTTGTGTTTAAGAAAGGCAAGAGCTGTTTGAGTTAGCTGTGCCTGAGAAGATAACAGAATTCTCCTAAGGCTCCAGTTGCTGATTGGGCATTCTTGGTCATGCCTCTGTTTCTGCTTATCTGGGTTGGGTACCAAACCAGAACCATGATATTCACAGAGCCTTGCACTTTCAGATAAAAACATGCAGTAACCATCTTTACCACATTTAACAGAACAATAAACTTCGTGCTGACCTTTGGCAAGCGTTCGGGGTCACCGGGGTGCCGGGGGATAACCTTCTGTAACCTTTGGAAACCATAGTCAATGGTGGGTTCGTTCAGAGCTGAAACAACAACAAACAACAGCGTGAGGTGACAAAGGCACAGCAGGGGGCTCAGGTGACAATGGGCAAAGGCACCATGGGACCATGGCAGGACCATGGCAAAACCCCCTGGGAACTCAGCACTGACTCAAGTCTGGGTCCAAACACTGCTTGAGGTTGGTCCTTTGGATTCCATCCAAACCTTCCCACTTCAGCAAAGCTGCTGGAAGATTTGGGGATGTTGTGCATCATCTTCCAAGCTGCTGGAAGATCTGGGGATGTTGCATACATCTTCCAAACAGGAAGCAATTATTGCCTCTGAAAGTCACTATGAAACCAATGTGATAAATACTTCACACCCATGTTTCGTGTTGGGTTTTTCATATTACAAGGAAGGTGATTGGAAGGCAAAAGTAGTTCCCATCCCAGTACCTTTTTTGTTCCAAATTTCATTATGCATTTAATATGCTCCATGTGCAATGTTCACAAATAATTTTGTTGTGAAATACAGACAATTGTCTTGGCAGAGGTTTTATTTTTTACTCATTGACACTGACTTCATCAGCTTAGGCTCTGATCAGCACTAAACTGATCCAGGAGAGCTAATAATTAAAAAAAAAAAATACATCAATGTTTTTAGTTCATCTTTCCCTAGTCCTTGTCCGATAAAATGGAGGTGAGAAATGGTGAAAGTGGAACACTTTAATCTTCATGAAAATGCTGGTCTGTCTGCATTAATGGAAGCTCTGATTGTGTCAAGCCTTTAAGCACATGCTTATCTGTAAGCACATACTTAAACCCATTTGCTTTCAGCAAAGCAAATTTGAGCATATTATGTTTTTTATATGATTGCCTATAATTACAGGGGACTGCACTGAATGACCTTCTAGCTATATTTCCAGTCATATGATCACTTTAAAACTCAGATGTTAGTGAGACTTCAACATGTGCTTAGAATTTCCTAAGTGCTTTGGTGAACTGGAACAGTCAAGTATTCTCAAGCATCTCTAAACAACAGCACATCTTGACTCTCCCATGCCAATAGAGATGTGGAAATATTCCACAGCAATTTGTTCGAATTTTTTCAGTTAAATGGAAAAAAAATATCAATTTGAATGTGGATTTTTATATTTTCAGCCTTTTTTTTTGTGGAGGAAAAGAAAAACCTATGTTTTTTCATTTTTGAGTCACTTTAAAGTCTTTCTTCTCATCTTAGCTTATTAATAGCAAAAAAAATTATTTCTCACACAAAGTCTTACTAATTTATGAATATATCATATACCTTTATGAGGATCTTATTATGAACTTTTTATGTGGCTAGAATGATGATATTTGAACACTGCAAAAAGATTTAGCATTAAACTCCATCTCCCAGTCTCAACATGGCATAACCTGTCCATATTTCCATGTTTTAAGTGAACATTTTTCCATACTCCTAAAGATCTTCATGTTATCATGAAACCAGTATCCAATCCCTGGCTTGTTTGTAATTCATTGGTGTTCCATAACATGCCCACAAAACAATCCCTTTAAATTACTGTTGCTTTCAAACCACATTTCTACAGCAGATTGTCCAGCTGGCAAGAAAAGGCTCAAATTCCCATCTCCATAAGCAAATCCAGCAATGCTGCTGCAGCCTGAGGCACAGGAAGGTGATGCTGAGGGATGCAGACCTACCCAACGTGGTGAAACACAAACATGGGGCTGATGGAACTGCCTGGAGAGGCACATGGTCCATGGGCCAGCAGGACCTCAGCATTCCTCCAACATCAGAAAGGAACCTTCTGACCATATCCTGAAATGAGTCTTGCAGTATTATGGTAACAACAGAGCAGAAATCCTTCAGGATTTTACTTTCTGAGCTTTTTATTACCCCAGAGGTCATGACACCCCTCCAGTCTCCTTGTTTGTTTGAGGTTTTTTCAGGTATTTCCTTTCATCAGGAATATCTGAATATGATCTTTTATTTCTATCCAGGTCATTATATGGAAGGAGTGAGCATAAGGCTTTTCCCTTGTTTTGGCCCCTTTTGATTTTGGGATGGTTGGGCCTTTTTTCCTACATTTCCTTTCACGCCCTGGCCTACACTGACCCCTCTGCTGTGTAGATTTGCAGAAAATATCACAGTTCCTTGGTTTGGAACCCCCTGGTTTCCTTACCTCTGAGTTTACTTACAAGGCTGCTTATTTTAAATCCTTTTTCAAATAAATTAATTGACTGCTATTTATATTTATTATCAAAAATAGCTGTTCTATGAGAAGATGAAAAAAAAACTCAACAAAACCCTACAGCTCAAATTTAAATTTCTTTTGCAAATACGTTCAAAGATTTTAGTGTGGTTCTGCAAATGTGTTTCTCCTCTAATTCAGTCTAGTTTATGGCCATTTTCCCTTTAGATCCTTTGGGAAACTAGTTACTAAATTCTGCAATATTATAAATGGAGGCCAGTTCTGAAATCCCCTCAGAGTTAGCAGTCATTTTCTCATATCTTCCTACATGTTCAACACATTTGAAATCCACAGAGTATTTCCTCTGAATATTTTCTGAACTAAATGGCCAAAAAAAAAAGTTAATTTTATGGTCCAATCTCAGAAGGCATCAAGCATACTGTGAGAGATAGTGAAAACTTTCTGCTTCAGACAGCTTCAGCTTTACTTTAGTGCTGGGGAGAGGCTGCACACAGCAATCTGCAGGACTGGGTCCTAAACTGCTATTGTTAAATATCACTCATTAGTCTATACCCCTTCAACCTTTCAATCTTACATAAAATTTAAAAAAAAAAGGGATCTTTAGCTGTCTGGACATCTGACAACAGATTGGACAATTTCAGCCCTCCATTCCTTGTTCATTTACAACCCAAATGTAATTAATCATCTCTCAATGAAAGAGATCTGTTCAGATATTTAACCCCACCCGCATTAAACCAGACCAGTTGTGTGTCAGGAGGTGTAAAAAGTCCAAAAAAAGGGAATATTCTCATCTCCAAGCACTGCAGAAGAGCTCCTACAAGGTCAGACACAACCCCCTGCAAGGTTTTCCTCTGCCCCAGTAAATGTGGCTGGTCTCTGCTGCTGAAGTCCATCCACAATAAGGCATTTCCCACACCTTTAATTCAAATAACAGTTTTCTTTCCATGATTGGAAAAAAAAAAAAAAAAGAATCAATCAGAAATACAAACTCTCTATTTGTGTTCTTGACATCCGTACATTAAAAACAAGCTAACACATATGGTACTTAAAATGCATTCCCATTACCTTATATTTTAAAAGTACCATTGAAAGTACTACTAACTTTAAAAAACTGTACTAAATTCAAATAGGTCCCAAGGCTAATGGAAGCAATTTGTATACCAACCCAAACTGACTGGCCTACTTTTCAAAATACAGGTATGATAATCTTGTGGTTTTAAAAGGACATTTAAATTGAAAGACTGTGAATTTAGTACATAATTATACCAATAGAACCCTTTAACTTGTCAACTTGTAAATCTAAAAGGCTATCAATCATTTCTAAAGAGGAAATAAACCTTAAAATTCTTTGATTGACAGTGCTTATTTTTTATGTGGAAAAAAAAAAAAAGGAGTAAAGTGGCCAGAAATCCATTTACAAAAGTACATTGTTTTACATAGGTGAGTAAAAAGCCAATAATTACACCTCCAAAAGACATATAAATCAAGGTAAGTACTTTTCCCTCACTTACATATTTTAAGTTGCAGTAAACTTCAGGTAACTTTTTATTAAAATACTTTTCCAAATGCATAGCTTATTGAAGCCATTAATAGAGTAGCATTTTCATTTAAGCTAATATAATCATTTTTGCAAATACAAGATTTAAGCCATTTTTCTCCTTCCAAACAATAAACTTTCAGCCTGTCTCTTGTGTGAATTAACTAAAATTACACCCAGGTGTACAAAATCTGTCTATCTATCCTAGTGTATGAGTTAAGGCACAATATTTATTATTCTTACCATTTTATGAATTACTTCTTAAACCCTTGAGGAAGAACTTTCTTTCAAATTAGACTCTAACAGAATAAGCCATGAAGCTCTTTATGCAGTAACTCTAAAGCCATAACTCATAAAATCTCAGGCTTTTAATCAAGAAAATGCACGATGTCTGTGGAAATAGGCATGTGTATATTATAGCCATCTTTTCAAAGTCCAGCTTATGTTTTCAACAAAAATGCTGCTCATGCCTCTGAGAAAAAATATTTCCATCATAACCATAATTTTGAATTCTGCACAAATAATTTTAATAACCACATGCAGATAATCCACCATCTTTAAAAGTCTCTTTTTTTTTTCAACTAGTCAGTGGAGGGCTTTTTTTAATATTTCACATAATGAATTCCTACTGTGTCAATAAAGCTTTGGTTGTTAATTGAATGACTGTCTGATGTATCTGAGAGAGGAATTTGTTTCTCTGGCCATGCTGCCAACTCCCAGCAGAATGATCGACACTTAATATCAGCAATTAAAAGGACCTGTTCAAATATCATATGGAATTCGTAGCTTGGGGTAGTGCAGAGAGCCCTTCATCAAGGAAAACTCATTCAGCAAAAGCAGAGAGTAATTGAATTAGACACATTTTAACATTATTATTCAAAGAAAAATAAACACACACTACATAGCAGCATTATGGAAATATTTCAGAATGTAAAACATATCCAGTTAATTTGTTTCCCATGCATTCATGGTTTCATTTACTCCTTTTATTTTTCAGTCCTTGTTTCTTTTTCATTCTGTTTGACCCAAAACCAGTGAGAAAGCAGCACTTAGACCTATGAACTTCCCATATGCTTTTCCAGTGGAAAAGGCTGCAAGGACAGGGAAGGGACTCTGAGGGCTCAAATGCTCAAATAACACCAAATAAAGGCTGAAGGCTACAAGAAAATTTGCCTCAGGCCCACAGGTCTGACGGTCCCTGTCTCAGAGGAGAAATCTGGTCTTGATTTTTTTTAAGTGAAACACTCAGGGAAAGGGTGAATGTGGGAATTAAATATCCCACAGTGCCTGCTCCT